TGTAAAATTAAATAGGAGGCAATCTCCAATGAAAAGGAAAATAATATAAGAGCCTGTTCTAAATTTTGAAAGCTTACAAGTGGTCAGTATCATTAACACTTCTAGAAAGTTTTCTACAGATCATTATGAATTTTGTTATATACCCAAAGCATTGTAGGGGCAGTAATCCTATCTTAGTCACACTGAATAAAATAAATACTTGACAGAGTTGGAAATATTTTCTGAGGGGAGAAAAAGCCAGTTAGCAGCCACATATCGTCTCATTTTGGGATTCCTGAAACCCATGCACATTAGCATGTCTTTTGAGATGTGTGCATGGCATATTATTACAGCTGTATATCGTCAGAGAGAAAAAAAATAATTGGTTTTCCTTGGAGTATCTCTAAGTTGATGTCACATTCAATAACTCCGTAGTTGAAAAATCTATATGTGATGGATGAAGTTTGGACTATCTTTTGAATTTAATTTCTCCTGTGCCAGCTTCTGCAGGCCCCAGTGAACCTGTCATTTTAAAGGTGAGAGAGGATTTAGAAGATGTTGCTTCTGCCAGAAAATGACCTGGCATGGGGAGGACAGTCTGCCTCACGTGTACTGTGGTCTCAATCCTCACCATTAACCACCTTGCAGAGGAGCTGGGGTGGTTCTGGGAGCCTGGACCCCCCATGCTTGGGGTCTCTACCAAGGTGCAGCCAGGATCACTGGCTGTGTCTTTTGGGGCAAGTGGATGTTGTAGGTGAACAGTAATTTATTTTCTCTTCCTTAGGGACCAGCATCTATTCTTCATCTCAACTAAATGAATCCACGGGGCATGGGAATCTGGTTTAGACATTCCTGATGATCCTAACAACATAACTTTATATACATTGATTAATAATCAGCATTACAGGTCTGGCCTTTGGGTTGCCTTTGGAACAGAGACTCTGCTAAGGGGCTTAAAGGCTCATCTCCAGGATCAAAACTGCCTAAATGCCTAGCTTGTCTTATGAACTTTTGAACAAGAAACAACAGAACCTCTTTTTAAATTCAGATTTTTGACTCATGAGATGTGAATTAACCTAGTTTTTTGAACCCGATTTTCTGTCTGAGAAGTACCTAATGTTTCCAGTTCCAGAGAAGAACACTCTTGCCAGTATGTGTGACACTCATGTGAGATGTACACTGGATAGTCTTGATGAAATAGGTCTGACCTCTGACTGGGAGACTTGGCTTTTTAGATTGTGGTCATGGTGGAAGTGAGTTACTAAACTATTGTCCAAGTTGATTCTCTGGGGGATGATTTCTGTAAATAAATGATAAGACATTTCTCTTACCTATTAGCAGGGCCTCCTTCTCAGATTTTAAGCCTTGGCTTCTTTTTTCGGTGTTGTTCTCTCGGTCTTGGTTAACCAACGCAACTGTCAACACATTGATTTCCTATAAAGTTAAAACACAAAAGCCATGTAGGTATTTATGTAGACCCCATGAATTTTAATGAACAGAGCCCACCCTCTTCTTAAACCCTATAAAACAGGCCATTGTTTTCTCTTAGAGATAAAATCTTAAAATTATTTATACAATAACAGGCTCCTAACTTCACTCTCAGGATACTATCTAAGAGTAACAAATTTGACAAAACTATCTTTTTGTCAATTAAACCAAACTAACCACCTCTATTCACAAAGGCTGTAGCCATCATAATATATTTTATTCTAGACATGGAATTTTGGGGGATGTGTCAAAGCTTACAAAAGGCTGATTATGTAGTAACTGAATGAACAAGGACTTCAGGGTAGGCTGAGAAGCTGAGGTAGAGCTGAAGGTGGAGTATTTGAGTAGGAGTGGATTCTTATGAACAAGAAAGTAGAGAAGGTAAGGCAAACCTGGGAGAGGTTTTGTCTTTGTTTTGTTTTTTTAAAACAAAAAAAAAACAAAACAAAAACTAAACAATGAGGAACTGAACAAGAGTTGTCCATGCATGGCATTCCACACCTGAGCTGTTTGGAATTAAAGATAGAGATAAAGATGTAACTCATATCCTCCCATTATTGATTTATAACTTGAAATAAAATGTGATACGATAGAAACTTAATAGCTTGTACATATGTGTAATCACTAGGGAAGTTGAGTCTTGTTGGAAGGAAATTCTTAACTGAAAGACAGCTCCGTCCCCTTGAGGGAGATCCAACATGGTTGAATAAATGCACCTTGTACTCAACTTTGCCATGGGTAAGCACCAGGGCAACAAAGAGACAATTGCAACTTGAGGCGAGTGGTTGCAGGGGAGTGCTGGAAATCAGCAAGGAAGATTACTGGACCTCTAAATAAAATGAAGTGTCAGAATGGCACCCAAGAGAATGGAGCTTTAACATTAGGTCTCTGGCTGTGAGGGAGGCAGGGCTGCTCTGCGTTGTAAGGGGAAGGTAAGCTGAAAAGTACCAGAGTCTAAGCAATTCAAACAGTTACTGCTAGATGTCATCTTACCTTAAAAGCCTTGAAATCTGTGAATCTTCACAGGGTATCAGGAAGTCCCTGAGGACCTTACAGCCTCAGGACAAGCAGCCTACCAGAGCCTCAGGAAAGTCCTATAGAACTAGGGAGGTCTCCTCCTTGGTACTGCAGTTGCTAGTATGGACAGTTCCTGCATCAACCACACTTGTCTGTTTATCCATGTTCTATAGCCACAGAACCACAGATGCAAATGTTCTATCAGTACCCACAGGCCTATAGATAATCTCCACATTATACACTACCAGAAACATGGAAAACAGCATGATGCACACAACTGCCATCTGAATATACCCTGGGGAATGTAGGAAAGTTATTTTCCACAGGCTGTGGTGTGTGGGCCATAAGTACTAAGGACAAAGCCCTAATATCATCTGTACTTGTCCCTTGGACCTGTAGAAGGCTATCCGTATTCTACAGCTTCAGAGGAACAGCTACTATACTACAAGCCCAAGAACAACTGACAATTATACCCTGAGGCTTTGGTGATGGTGACCAGTGTCACATATGCCCATTGCTCATCCTATGGGAAACATGGAAGGTCATTTCCCATCCAGTGAATCAAAACATGTAGGCCCAGGCACAGCCTATAGTCATCCTAAGGGCCCTAGAGGGAAGGATATTTCATGTCCTATGGCTCAAGGACAATTTTTCTTATTATCTTTGGTGTCACTTGTACTTATTCTAGAACCTAGGATAGTCCAATCTACATCTTGTATTACCAAGATTGTGGCAGCTGCCATCGCAGGTCCTAGTGCCATAAGTATCCTACATTGTTGGTACCCAAAGATATACACCTTTAGAAACCTATATGAGGCCGAGAAGCACCTAAAGAAATGTTCAGCATCCTTAGTCGTCAGGG